GGCTGCTCCAGGACCAGCGGCTGGCCGCAGCGAAGCTCATGGACAAGGGGAACAACCAGTCTCTCAGGCTGTACCGAGTGCTGCTGAGTGGGAGGCTGTATCTCAGGAGGCGCCTGCTCTTGAATGTCCGTTCGAGTTGGATTTCAACGACTTCGACTTCGATAGCGCCAGGGGCGTTGACATGGCTGTGGCTGATGGACTGCGTCCGCAGATCTCGGTGGGTGAGGAGGGCGACGCCGCTTCCGCTGGCGCGAGCTCTGTCGGCAATACCCACCTGCCTTCAATTGCCGATCCAGTCGAGGTTGCCGATTCCCCTGAGGCCGCAGACAATACGCCTTCTGAGCCTTCTGGCAGACCCGCTTCGTTTATGCTAAAGCGGATTCTGACAGACCCGCACATGCCCGATGGTCATCGCCAAAGATCCGATGATGTGGAAGATGATCCTTTCGGTGCCCAGCAGCTTGTGGATGCTGAGGAGTTATTGGGCGAACTGACGCAGACGCGCAACTGAAGGCACTTACGTAACTATGGTGATATACTGGATTATGGTGTGATACGCTCGAGTATGGTGTATTCTTCATTGACTGTTGCTCTGTTGATGTAGTTCATGCCGTGATGTATTTCACTAAATAATTGTCTATGCCAGTACGGTGCACGCCATTCCATGAGTTTCTTTATGACGTGATCTACGTTTCGCTTGTCTGCGAGAGCTGGGCTGTCAGACACCAGGGGCTGCCACCAGCCTCCAGAGGTGCACTCGTTCAGTGTGGTTACCACGTCCGCTGAAATTAACTCGTGCGTCATTGCTTTGTTGGTCTTAGTTCTTCTGTGACTGTGCCCACACTCCACCCAGGACCCCAAGTTCACTGTGTCACAGTACATACTCAAACGTTCACAATACATAATCGTTATCGCAGTACATAAGGGTTCTTAACGTACCGAGTACATAACGCACTACCACAGTTGATCAACCTGCTCTCACATCACATACGCGAATTAGTTGCCGCAGCGCTTTGCAGTAGGCAGTAGGTGTGAGCAGTACCAGATGTACTATGTATCAGCGTTGCATTTACGGCGCTGGTGTGAGCGGCATACGATCATGGTGCGTAGGCAGTATATGGTGTGTACTCCCTGCATGGTGCGTATGTCATATATTTTGAAACGCTTCCGAAATACACGAAGCATTGTCATCCCCGCCTCTCCCCCGTCCATCTCCTCGTTGCCCTTTTGGCACCAACTCTGCCGTCTTGGGGGTGTCGTCTTGGTGGTGCCGTCTTGGTGGAGCCGTCTCGGGGGTCGTCTTGGTGGTGTCGTCTTGGGGGCCGTCTTGGGAGGCCTCTTAATGGCCGTCTTGGGGGAGCCGTCTTGGGGTTAGTGTATTGGGGGTCGTCTTGGTGGCGCATCTTGGGGGCCATCTTGGGAGGGGGGTGTCTTGGGGGTGCAGTCTTGCCTTGGGGTATCGGATTGGGGGGTCCCCCAGTCAAAGCGTTGCCGTTGCCCTGCGATCTGAACGTGTTTCGATGTACCTTGCGCCTTCCGACATTGACAGTGTACCTTCCGACTTCCGACGTCGGGCTGTATAGGCTCTTTAGTGGCACACTTGGACTCGGGTTTTTTGTTCAACAGGATACAGGACTTCCAAGATCAGTCTTTTCTGTGCGCGATGGCATTGACTACCGCCGCGCTCGCCGCCCTTGCCAACCAGAACGGGCTGCCACCACAGGGGCAGGTAGTGGCGGCGGCGGTGCCGCCCCAGACTCGCGGCCGCGCGATGATCTGCTGTGGGTGCGACGTCCTTTCCACGGACTGGGCATTCCCATAGAACCTGTTGGGGGCCCGTTTGTGTGTCTACCCCCGTTGCTCTCGAGTTTTCTTTCTCCGCATGTTAACCCCCTCCCCCCGTTGAGTAGAGTGGGTGGGCGGGGCGGTGGTCTACCCGCTTCCAGGGCCCCGCTTCGGGTGGTCGGAGGGGGGACTTGAGGAGGGCGGGGAAGAGGGAGGGCGAGGGGGAGGAGAAGGAGGAGGATGAGGAGGAGGAGGACGACGACGATAACGACGACGACGACGACCACGACCAAGGAGGAGCTGGAGGAGGAGGAGGAGGAGTGGGACGACGTGACGAGGGGGGAGTGAGTTTTGTTTTGGGGCGCCATCTCAAGGAGAAGCCTTTCGGCGCCAACTCAGAGGGTGGCGTTGGCCCTCTATGCCAGGATTGCGTCGGGGAGATCGGGAGGCGTCGCATTTTCAAGGATGTTGACAGCGCTGCGTTGGCCTTTCGTGAATCCCCGACCCTGAAAGAGCAGTGGAAGCGGACCCGCGACCTGTCATCGGATCACCCTTCGGGTTTCAATCAGAGAGTTGCTTCCACGTTGGGTTCTTCTACTGATATATATGTTGAGTGCCTCTGTCTTGACGCTGCTGAACTGGAGTACCTGTCGAAGAAGAAGAAGAGATCCTTCAAGGTTGCGCCCTTCAACGGGTGGACGCTCGACGGTCGCCCAGAGCAGTGCTATGCCATCATGATAGACCTTCCGTACCATGAGACTGCTGCATACCGCAGGGTGAAGGTGTCTCTCGGCTCGGCTACGGAGCTAGAGATCTTGCACGCGGACCAGCGCTCGGCGCCTTTTCAGTCTCAAGGCTTTCTCCAGTGTCAGATGTGGACAGCTGAGCGGTGCGACGCCATTGGCCACAAACAGCTCCTCGGCACCACCACCCGCGTCTCGCAGATCAAGGGCAAGCAGGACGAGCTGCGCAAGAGGAAGTCTTTGGACTGCTACTCGGAGGCCGAGATGGTGAGGTTCGGCAAGGCGTCCAAGAAAGGCACCCCAGCAGGAGAGGACGACGATGACATGGGAGGTGATGTTGACGACTGGCGGTCGACCGTCACTGGGATGCCTGCTGGGTCCACTGCGAGTGGTTCTGGAGGTCGTGGTTCGGCTGATGCTACGGTTCCGAGGGCCTTCGGCATCCCTACCGACAGCCTCGGCGCCGTGCGTGGCCTCGTGGTTCCGTTCAACTTCGAGTCAGCTGCTCGCTCGACGACCCCCGTGCCAAAGGACCTTCAGCGCTCGCCTTCCCCAGGTAGCCGACCTGGCGGGTCAGCCACTAAACGGGCACCGAGCGTCAACCTGGACGATGCGGCCTCGGCGGCTGCGGGCAGCGCTAAGAAGTGGACGTCCTGCCCCAAAGATCCAAAAGATAAGGCCTTCTACTGGACCCAGGAAAACAATCTGACAGACATCCTTGACGAGAAGTCCCTCGGCAAGGAGAGGTCCGAAGGCAACGACTGCTTGGGCAAGTTGGCGAATAAGAAGGAGCTCAGCGGCGTGTGGAGCATGCTTCGTGATCACATGACCCTCGTAGACATCTGCTGGAAGGTCAAGGCCAGCGCAGTGAACCAGCTCGACAACAGGGGCGAGGCGGCGCACCACGCGACGCTGAAGAAGCACAAGGTGAGGTACCCGTTCCGCATGCAGGACTTCATGACCAAGCGCCTCCTGAGGAAGAGGGCGAAGGCTGTCGAGACTGCGTCGGCGGCCACGTCGCAGAGCGACATCGGCCTGTGCCCCTCCGAACAGCCCAAGCTTCAGGATAATCCGAAAAGGAATGGCGACGAGGAGGGTGAAGAGGAGGAGGAGGAGGAGGAGGAGGGGGATGATGATGAGGAGGAGGAGGGGAGGGAGATGGGGAGGAGGAGGAATGGCTGATAATGAGGAGGAGGAGGAGGGGGGATGATGATGATGATGTTGGTGGTGGTGATGATCTTCATCACAATCATCAACATCACCACGATCAACATACCATTGTCATCATCATCACCACCATCAGTACCATGATCATCACCACCATCATCACCACCATCATCACCACCATCAGTACCACGATCACTACCAGCACCACCGCCACCATCATCACCATCAGCAGTACCATCACCATCAAACACACCAGCAAGTGATCAACAACATGTACCCAAGAAGCGGAGGTCAGCGCCCCCGCCTCGGAGTCGATCTTGGGCAGTCTTAGCCGTCGTGGGGGCTGCGTTGAACCATCTCGGGGCGGTTCGGGGCCAGCATCCATCCATAGGTGGCCCTCTTCCGTTCTCAATCCTGTCGCCGTCTCGGCCCGCGAGGGCATGGGCCCCCCTACCGCGCCCCAGGGGCGGGTGCGCATGCGACCACCGCAGCCTGCTGCGCCGCCGCCTCCGCACCTGCTCGTGGGCAGACCGCCGCACCCCGTGGCGACTTCCAAGTTTCAGGGCGGGCCTCCGCTGTCGTGTACTCAGCCTGCTCCCAGTGCGGCTCCCCCAAGGCCGACCTCCCGACCTCCCGAGCCGCGCGGCGAGGTGCAGCAGGCAGATGGGGTCGCACCCATCAGGCGGCCCCTCGCGATCCACAGCGATGAGGACAGCCGCCAACTGCCAGAGAGTGCCACCGCCACCGGCAGCGGTCGCGCTTGCTCCGAAGCCAGCGATGACAGTGTTGGCTCTGCTGACTGCTCTGGTGGCAAGCCCGATCCTCGGCCGAGCGGCGGTGGACATGACGTGCTCCGCCAGCCCAGGGTCCACGGAATCGACTTCCTCGACCGCAGCGGCAACCTGGTGCACGTGTCGGCCGAAATCGTGGCATGTGCAGAGGAGTGCGACGACCTCTTCGAGGCGCACAGGGCTGCTGAAGAGCGGCACAGACTCGCACAGCAATTGGCAGCAGAAACGTGTGCAGCAAGTGTTGAAGCAGCCGTCGCATGGCAGACCTCTGAGGGAATCGCAGATGGCGCGACGTCGGGCTTGCCAGACGAGGTCAGAGACCAGCTTCGCCACTGGGTACGCAGCACGCGGCACCGCCGCTCCAGCTGAACAGGACTGCCAGGGAACAAAAACCTTGACACCATCACATCAATGTTCTCCTCGTCCTCCTCCCTCGCGCTTCCCCCCCCCCTCCCCCGCCTCCTCTTCCTCCTCCTCCTCTGCCTCCTCCTCCCCCTCCTCCTCCTCCTCCTCCTCCTCCTCCTCCTCGCCTGTTCGCCTCATCCCTCCGCCGCCTCCCCCCTCGGGGGGGAGGGGGATTGGCGGGGGAGAGGAGGAAGGGGGGGGATTGAAGGAGGGAGGAGATGCTCCCTTCATATAAAGACTCGGTAGGGTCCACAACGAACCCTGCATTACCATACTTCTTTGTTTTTGTTTTTCAGTGCTTGCGCCTCGACGCCGCAAGCACCCCCTACGAACAGCGACGTTCCCGCTCGCAACTTCCTCCGCTGTTACTTAGGGTTTCCAGGAGGCCCTGAGACGTTCGGTGGAAACCCATATGGTGCCACGAAGCGTGTGAGGGGTGTGCCAAAATAGGCGCGGTCACACATGCGGTCGTGGCCACTGGTGCCTTCGGTGGACCTCCCTATGAGGCCTCGAAACGTGCGAGGGGTGTGCCACATGTGCGCGGTTGCACTTGCGGTTGCTGCCGCTGCCGCATTCGGTGGGGCTCCCGATGGGGCCACGAAGCGTGTGAGGGATGTGCCTAAAGTGGCGCGGTCGCACATGCGGTCGCGACCAGTCGGACATCTGGTGGAGCTCCCTGTGGGGCCGCGGAACGTGTGAAGGGATTGCCAAACAGAGCGCGCCCACGCGTGCGGTCGCGGTCACTTGGGCCTTCGGTGGAGCGTCTAAGGGGGCGCGAGACGGTTGAGAGGGGTGTTCCAAACAGAGCGCACGGCCACTGGGGGCCATCGGTAGCTACGTTTGGTGCCACGAAGCGGGCGGGGAGTGTGCAGCAATGTGGGCGGTCTCACATGCGGTCGCGGCTTCTGGGGCCTTCGCTGGAGCTCCTTATGGTGCCACGAAGCGTGTGAGGGGTGTGCCAACATAGGCGCGGTCACACATGCAGTCGTGGCCACTGGGGCCTTCTGTGGAGCTCCCTATGGGGCGTGGAAGCGTGCGAGGGGTGTGGCAAAATGGGAGTGGTCACGCATGCAGTCGCGGCCGCTGGGGCCTTCGGTGGAGCTCCTCATTGGTCCAGGAGGCGCGTGGGGTGAACCAACGTGTGCGAAAACACGCATGCGGTCGCTGCCACTGGGGCCATCGGTGGAGCCCTATGTGGGTACACGAAGCGTGTGAGGGGTGTGCCAAAATTGCCGCGGTCACACCTGCGGTAGTTGCCATTGGGGGCTCGGTGGGCCCCACTATGGGGCAACGAGGCGCGTGAGTGTTGTCTAACGACCGCGGTCACACATGCGAGCGCTTCCACTGGGGCATTCGGTGGAGCTCCATATGCGGCCGCGAAACGTGCGAGTGGTGCGCCAACATGGGAGCGGTCACACATGCGGTCGCTGCCACTGGGGCATTCGGTCGAGCTAATTGTGGGGCCATGAAACGTGGGGGGTGTGCCAAACTGTGCGCGTGCACACGTGCGAACGCGGCCACTGGCCTTCGGTGGGGCTCCTTGTGGGTCAGCGAAACGTGTGAGGGGTGAGGGGCGTAAATTGGCGCGGTCACGCATGCGGCTGCGGCCGCGACAGCATTCGGTGGACCCCCTATGGGGCCACGGAGCGTGTGATGTGTGCGACAGCATGAGCGCGGTCACACTTGCGATTGCGTCCGCGAAGGCCTTCGGTGCAGCTCAAATTTGGCAACGAAGCATGTGAAGGATGTGTCGCAATGGGCGCGGTCACACATGCGGCCGCTGCCATGGGCGCCTTCGGTGGAGCCCCCTTATGTGGCCGCGAAACGCGTGGCGGGCGTGCCAAGCTGGGCGCGGGCACACATGCGGTCGCTGCCATTGGGGCCTCAAGTGGGGTTCCTTATGGGGCCGCGAAACGTGTGAGGAGTGTGCCAACATGAACGTGATCATACATGCGAACGCTGCCACTTGGGCGTTCGGTGGGGCTCCCACTTGGGCAACGGAACTTGTGAAAGATGTGCCAACTTGGGCGTGGTACACATGCGGTCGCAGCCACTGGGGTCTTCGGTGGGGCTCTGTATGGGGCCGCGAACTGCGTGAAGGATGTGCCAAAAGGGGCGCAGTCACACATGTGGTTGCGGCAACTAGTGCAGTCGGTGGAGCTCCATATGGGGCCAAGAAGCGTGTGAGTGTATGCCTACATGAGCGCGGTCGCACATGCGGCCGCTGCCATTGGCGCCGTCGGTGGAACTCCCTATGGGGCGCGCGAAGCGTGTGAGGGGCGTGCCAGAATTGTCGCGGTCACACGCGCGGTCGCGGCCATTGGGGCCTCCAATGGGCTCCACATGGGGCCACGAAGCGTGTGAGGGGTGTGTGTCAAAATAAGTGCGGCCACACAAGCGGTCGCGGCCATTGGTGCCTTCGGTGGAACAACCTCTGGGGCCACGAAACGTGTGAGGGGTGTGCAAACATGTGCGCGGTCACACATGCGGTCGCGGCCATTAGGGCCTCCTGTATAACTTCGTATGTTGCCACGGACCGTGTGAGGGGTGTGCTAATTTTGGCGCGGTCACACATGCGGTTGTTGCCACTAGGGCCTTCGGTGGAGCCCCCTCATGTGGCCACGAAGCTTGTGAAGGGCGCGCCACAAGTTACGCGGAAACACATGCGGTCGCGGCCACTGGGGCCTTCCGTGGAGCTCATTGTGGGACCAGGAAGCGATGAGGGGCGTACCAAAATGGGCGCGGTCACACATGCGGTCGCTGCCACTGGGACATTTGGTGGAGCTCCCTATTTTGCCACGAAGCGTGTGAAGGTTGTGCCCAAATGGCAGCGGTCACGCATGCGAGCGCGGCCGCTGTGGCCTTCGTGGGGTTCTCCATGGGGCCGCGAAACGTGTGAGGGGCGTGCGTAAAATTACGCGGTCGCACATGCGGTTGCGGCTACCAAGGCCTTCGGCGAAGCTCACCATGGGGCCATGAAGCGTGCGCAGAGTATGTCAAACTGGGCGCGGTCATATATGCGGGCACGGCCACTGTGGCCGTCGGTGGAACTCTATGGCAACGAAACGCACGAAGGATGTGTCCACATGTGCGCTGTCACACATGCGGTCGCGGCCACTGTGGCCTTCGGTGGGGTTCCATATGGGGCCACGGAACGTGTGAGGGGTGCGCGACAATGCGCGCGGTCAAACATGCAATCGCGGCTTCTAAAGATTTCCGTAGGGCTCATCCTGGGGCCACGAAGCGCGCGACGGCTGTCCCAAATTGTGCGCGGTCGCGCATGCGGTCACGGCCACTGGGGCCTTCGGTGGATGTCCCTGCGTGGCCACGAAGCGTGTGAGGTGTGTGTGCCAGAATGACACAATCACGCCTGCGGTCGCGGCCACTGGGGCGTTCGGCGGAGCTCCCTGCGGTGCCGCTAAACGGGCGAGGGGTGCACCAGAATGTGCGCGGTCACACATGCGGCCGCGGCCTGTGGGATCTTCTGTGCAGCTCCTTGTGGGGCAGCGAAACGTGTGCGGGTGTGCCAACGTGGGCGCGGTCATGCATGCGGTCGCGGCAATTCGGGCATTCGGCTGAGCTCCCCATGGGGCCACGAAACGTGTGAGGGGTGTGCCAAACTGTGCGCTGTCACACATGCGGTCGCGGCCACTGGGGCCTTCGGTGGACTAACCTGTGGGGCAACAAAACGTGTGAGGGGTGTGCCAACATGCGCGCGGTCACACATGCGGTCGCGGCCAGTGTGGCCTTCTGTTGGGCCCCCTACAGGGCTCCGAAGCGTGTGCGGGGGGTGTGCCAACAATGTGGCTGCCCAGGCGGTCGCGGCCACTGAGGCTTCCAGTGGAGCTTCCGATGCAACCACGAAGCGTGCGGGGCGTGCCAAAACGTGTGCGACCACGCAGCATGCGGCCACGGCCACTGGGGCCGTCGGTGGAGCTACCTCTGTGGTCACGGTACGTGTCAGGGTATGCTAACTCAGCGCAGTCACACATGCGGTGGCGGCCATGGGGGCCTTCGGTGGAGCTCATGGGGTGCCACGAAACGTGTGAGGGGGCGCCAAAATGAACGCGGCCACGCCTGCGGTCGTGGCCACTGGGGCCTTCGGTGGAGCTCCGTGTGGGGCCGACAAACGAGTGAGGGTGTACCAAAATGCGCGCGGTCACACATGCGGTGACAGCTACTAGGGCTTTCGGTGGAGTTCCTATGGGGCTAAGAAGCGTCCGAGAGGTGTCCCAAAACATGCGCGGCCACACATGCGGTCGCGGCAACTGGTGCATTCGGTGGAGCTGTCGATTCTGCCACGCGGCGTGTGGGATGTGTGCCAAACAGTGCGCGGTCACACATGCTGTCGCGGCCATTGGGTGCCTTCTGTGGAGCTCCATATGGGGCCACGAATCGTGTGAGGGGTGTGCTAGATTGAGCGCGGTCGCACACGCGGTCGCGGCCACTGGGGCCGTCGAATGGGTTCCCGATGTGGCCACGAAACGTGTGCGGGTGTGCCAAAGTGAGCGCGGTCATGCATGCGGTCGCGGCCACTGGGGCCTTCGGTGGAGCTCCCTATGTGGCTACGCAACGTGTGAGGGGTGTGCCAACATGTGCGCGGTCACACATGAGGTCGCGGCCACTGGGGCCGTCGGTAGAGCTCATAATGTGGCCACGAAGCGCGCGAAAGGTGTGCCGATGTCAGCGCAGTCACAATTCCGATCGCGGCCGCTGGGGCCTTCGGTGGGGCCCCTATGGGGCCACGAAGCGTGTGAAGAGTGCACCAAAACAAGCGCGGTCACACATGTGGTCGCGGCCACTAGGGCATTCGGTGGAGCTCCCTATGGGGCAGCGAACATGGTGACTCGTGTGTCAAAGTGATCGCAGTCACACATGCGGTCGCTGCCATTGGGGCCTTCGGTGAAGCCCGTTATGTGGCCACGCAGCGTGTGAGGGGTGTGCAACAATAGGGGGGCGGCCGCACATGCCGTCGCGGCCACCGAGGCCTTCGGTGGAGCTCCTTCTGGAGCCACGAAACGTGTGAGGGGTCGTCCAAACTGGGCGCGGCCGCACATACGGTCGCGGTCACCAGGGCCTTCGGTGGAGCTGCCGATGTGGTCACGAAGCATGTGATGGGTGTGCCACAGTGGGCGCGGTTACACATGTGGTCGCGGCCATTGTGGCCTTAGGTTGAACTCCCTCTGGGGCCAAGAAACGTGTGAGGGGTGAACCAAGATGCGCGCGTTCACACATGCGGTCGCGGCCATTGGGGCCTTCGGTGGAATTCCTTATCTGGCAACGAAACGTGTGAGGGTGTTCCAAAATGCGCGCGGTCGCACAGGCGGCGGCGGCTACTGTTGCCTTCGGTGGAGCTCCCCATGGGGCCAAGAAGCGTGTGTCAGTTTTGCCAACATGTGCGCGGCCATAACTGCGGCTGCGGCCAGTGGGGCATTCGATGGAACTTCCTCTCTGGGGCCAAGAACCGTGTGAGGGGGGTGCCAACATGAGTGCGGTCACACCTGAGTCGGGGCCATTTGAGCAGTTGGTGGGGCTCTCTATACGGCCACGAAGCGTGTGGATGGGGGTGCCAAAATTGACGCGGTCACACATGCGGTCGCGGCCACTGGTGCATTCGGTGGCGCTCCCTATGCGGCCACGAAGCGTGTGATGGGTGTACCAAACATGCGCGCGGTCACACATGCGGTGGCGGCTACTGTGGCCTTCGGTCGGCTCCCTATATGGCCACGAGAGGTGTGGGGGGTGCGCCAACATGTGGGCGGCCACACATGCGATCGCGGCCATTGGGGCCTTCGGTAGGGCCCCCTATGGGGCCACGAAGCGTGTGAAGGGGTTTCAAACTGGGCGCGGCCACACATGCGGCCGCGGCCACTTGGGCTTTCGGTGGGGCCCCCCATGCTGCCACCAAACGCGTCAGGGGTGTGCCACAATCCGCGCGGGCACAAACATGGTCGCGGCCACTGGGGCTTTCGAAGGGGGCACCGATGAGGCCACGAAACACGTGAGGGGTGTGCCAATATGAGCGCAGTCACACATGCGGTGGCGGCTACTGGGGCCTTCGGTGGAGCTCCCATATGCCGTAACGAAACGTGTGAGGAGTGTAACAAAATGTGCGCGGCCACACCTGTGGTCGCGGCTACTGGGGCCTTCGGTGGAACTTCCCATGTGGTCACGAAACGGGTGAGGGTGTGCCAAAGATGGTGCAGTCACACATGCAGTCGCGACCAATGGGGCATTCGGTGGAACTCCCTTTGGGGCCACAAAGCGTGTGAGGGGCGTACCAAAATGCGTGCGGTCACACATGCAGTCGCGGTCACCAGGGCCTTCGGTGGAGCTGCCGATGGGGCAACGAAAACTGCGAGGTGTGTGTCAGAATGGGCGCGGTCCCCATGCTGCCGCGGCCACTGGGGGCCGTCGGTGGAGCTCCCTATGGGGCCAAGAAGCGTGTGAGGGGTGTGCCGCAATGGGGCGCGGTCACACATGCGGTCGCGGCCACTGAGGCCTTCGGTGGGGCTCCCTATGAGGCCACGAAGCGCGTGAGGGGTATGCCAGAATGTGCGCAGTCACACATGCGGTCGCGGCCACTAGGGGCTTCGGTGGAGCTCCCAAGGAGGCCACGAAACGTGTGAGGGGTGTGCCACAATGGGCGCGGTCACACATGCGGCCGTGGCGACTGGGGTCTTCGGTGGAGCTCCCTATGGGGCCAAGAGACGTGTGCAGAGAGCAGAGGAGAGCAGTAGGGAGGAGGGAGCAGCGGGCGAAGAGGAGGAGTGAGGTAGCGGGGCGCTGTCTCTTCAAAACGATGACCCAACACCACAGGATGCTCGAGAAAAGCTTCCCAGCCAGGGAACCACGCACGCACATTTCATTGCTGGAAAATTGTTCAGGGAATCAACAGTAGTGCAATAGTAACCGTCTTAATAATAGGCGCCCCCCTTTCGATTATGCAGCGCGCGCCCCCCGTCTGGGTTGTCAAGTCGGCGCCCCCCTCTGGGTTGTCATGCGGGCGCCCCCCTCAGGTCCCGAAGCGCGCGAGGGGCGTGCCAGACTGTGCGGGAGGGGGGGGGAGGGGGAGGGGTATTCTATTCCCATAACCAAAGTCCAGCGTGGCTCCTTATAGGATCACGAAACGCGCGGCGGTCGTGGCACTATGCCAGGTGGGCCAAATGCTGGGGAAGCCGCATGCGAACAAGGGAAACTGTGGACCACAACGTGTGTGTGGTGTTCCGGAGTGGTGTGGCGTGGACACAGCATGCGGCGTTTCGCGGCTGGGTTTTCGGCATATTCCTCATGGGGCAATGAAACGTGTGAGGGGCGTGCCACAGTGCATGGGGGTGCCGCGTGCGAACACTCACATACAGTGTTTCTGTTGGGGCCCCCTGTGGGGCCTGTGGAGCCACGAGACGTGTGAGGGGTGTGCCAGAATGTGTGAGTGGGGGGGTGCCAGATGCGAGCATTACCATAGTGGCTTTCAGTGGGTGGTGGGCCCCTCGATGAGGCCACAAAGCGTTTGATGGATGTGCCAGCGTTCCAGGGCCCAGGGCGGGGGCCGCCTGCGCTCCATGCCATTGTGATTTGCGCTGTGGTTTCTAGTCCAGGGCGGGTGTACTACAGTCCACATGCGCGGCTCGTTTTCGAAGTAGTGCCGTGCCAATCCGACTTTCCTTTTCCGTATGATTCAGATTCAGATGCATTTCATTCCCCATGGGGATTTCGTGATGGAGTGCTTGACTTTCACACTGACTGGTGACGTCCTGGCACAGGAGTTCGACCCCGAGGCGCCGTCGCTGCGGAACGGCGGGAGCACGGTGAAGCAGAAGCTCGATTTCGCCATGGAGTTCTTCATCACGGAGGTGCTGTGCTCGTGGATCCAGAGGGAAGCCGCGGCGTCGAACGCAGTGCTCTCGCTCTCCAAGGCAGCGCTGGCGGTGCTGAACCAGGACTTGCGCAGGGTTGACTTCCCTGGAGAGGTGAAGAAGGAAGCTGTGGAGATGAGGTCTGTGATGAAGGTGCTGCAGTCACTGTTCCACTCCGCAGACGATGCCGCCACCTTGGCAAGCAAGCTGGACATGCTGAAGGAGCTGGAGGCCGCGGAGGCGGAGAACACCGATGGCATTGCGGCGTTGGTCATGAGTTCTATGAAGGGCTCGCCTTATTACGCGGACCTTCTGACGCGTCTGTCTGCTTGCCAGCCTGCCTGGGACAAATACGGTACCCAGATCAGTACTTCGCAGGAGTGGTTCGATGGCTTTGATGACTCGGACTCTGTTGAAGACATGCTTTCGGACGCGAACTTCAAGCACACTGCGGAAGTGCTGGCGGCAGAGTACAAGAACATACTATCTTGGCAGACGGCTCCGTTCCGTGAGGGGTCCCTCGAGCCGATCATGTGCTCCGCGAAGAACGCATTGAGGATGGTTTTCAACAACAGTGCATACGGTACCTGGCCCAGTTCGTTAAACCGGCCTTGTGATCCTGCACATCTGGAAGCCGCCCTCACGTCAGCCAAGCAGCTCTTCCCAGCTGATGAAGATTTCGCCAAGTGGCACTTCCAGTTCGAGAAGCAGAAGCAGACCCGCGCCGCCATGGAGAAGCAAGCAGCCTTGAAGGATATCATCAGTGAGGTGACCGCCAGCATCACGAGGGATAAGGAGGTGGCACTGGACGCGCGAGCCCGCCTGGAAGGTGCGCTGAAGAGCAGTGCGAGCAAGCATGGGGACGCTGAGCTGGAGTTGTCGTTGAATCATTTGTTCTGGACATGGTCGGCCATCGTCTTTCAGAACCGAGTGGATGGTAATACTGATTACGTCGCGGATGAGACGTCCTTGACCCTCATCGCAGGGCACCTGAAGCCAGGCGACGTGAAGATATCTAAGAAAGCCGCGCAGTTCTTGTGCGAGTACCGCGCCATGCTCATCGCTGCCGACGCGTTCGATAAGCTCGGCAACTCCATGGAGGAGAAGGCGCTCCACGACCAAGCTTTTCGCCGCATCTCCGACCTCAAGAGCCGTGCCATGGCTGTGAGCGACCTTGCAGAATCAATCAAGGACTCTTCTAAGCAGCACTGGGCTTCATGGGATGCGTCCAATGCGAAGGTGGCCGCCGTGACGGATGACTTGGACAAGGTTTCGAAGCACATCGCAGAGTCCAAGAGGATGGTTGTGGACGACGCCCGTGTTGCTCTCAGCAAGGTCAACAAAGGAGGCGCGAACGGCTTGCACTGGCACGAGAACTTCAAAGGCAAGACCCTCAAAGCGGTTATCAAGTACGGCATGACGCACCTCGTGAACTCCGAGTCCGTGGACCTGGACGCCATGATGAACATGGCAACCCAGCTGGAGAAGGCGACTGCGACGACGACTCCGACGACGACTCCGACGACGACGACGAGGAGGAGAACGAGGAGGAGGAGGAGAAGGAGGAGGAGTAGTAGGAGGAGTAGGAGGAGGACGGATGACGGAGGATCCAAGAGGCCTTCGACGACTACAACTCGATTCTCGAGGCCCTCCACCTCGACCCGCCGAGCTCCGACTACAAGCGCAGCGTCCAGCTGGCATTGGACTGGGCTAACGCGACGGAGCTGAACGTTGGTGTCATCAAGAGCCTCGACACCATCACTGACAGCACGCTCTTGTACGATGCCATGCTGAAGCTCGACGGGGACATCAAGAAACGCTGCAAGGTGCTCAAGATGATCGACGTGCTCCACAGCATCGTCTTCAAGAAGGTCGAGTCCGTGCTGGGGTGATCTCGGCGCCCCCTCGTGTCGCGCTGGCGGCCCGCGCCAGGACACATGGCGTGCGAGGGGCGCTCGCGACGTGCAGCGAGCGCTGAGAGAGCGGAGGAAAGGGAGGAGGCGGAGGAGGAGTAGGAGGAGGAGGAGGAGGAGAACGAGGAGGAAGAGGAGGAGGAGGACGAGGAAGAGGACGAGGAGGAGGAGGATGAGGAGAACAAGGAGGAAGAGGACAGGACGAGGACGAGGACGAGGACGGAGGACGAGGAGGATTGGAGGAGGAGGAGGAGGAGGCGGAGGAGGAGGAGTAGGAAAGGAGTGCGTGCGTCGGGGGTCCTGGGAAGTGCGTCGGGGGTCTAGGTAACCTTCACCCTTTTGCCAACTCCCCTCTTTGCTAAACCCCTCCTCCGCCTCCTCCTCCTCCTTCCCCCTCCTCCTTCCCTCCGTTTCTCCTCCTCCTCCTCCTCCTCCTCCTCCTCCTCGTCGCCGTCGTCGTCGGCCTCCTCCTCCTCCTCCTCCTCCTCCTCCCCCTCCTCCTCCTCCTCCTTAGTGGCAGGCCGCAGGCTTGGTGTGACCTTCTGGGAGCGTTCGGGGCATTTACTTCCGCTGGAGGTGATATCTCTTCAGCGCTTCGCGCCTTGCATGGCCAGCATCACTGAACGGAGCGCAGTATACAAGCGCGCGGGCACCCAAACGTGAATCCAATATTATTGGGTGCAAGCACTGTTTGGGGCATATCCAAAGGCCCTCTGGAAACAATTCGAAACTGTACCGTAACATCACTCTCATCACAGCTCTGACCCAACTAACTCTAGCTCAACGTTTGCCCTCCGATTCGCACCCTCGCCCGTGCCCCTGGCCCGCTCGATGGGCCGACGCCTCTGTGAATCGTTTCGTAGCTCTGTCGAAGATGCCGAGTGTCCCCACCGCTGCGGTAATCGTCATTTCCGTGGCTCCTTGCCGCCGACTATAGGGTATGCGAAACGCTTGTAGGTTTCAAATCGAGAGACTTGCGGATGCGCTTTGCGAAATACACAACGAATCAGTCATGCAACTCCACGCGCACGGCTGGCGGCACTGAGAATCACCATGTTTGCGAAAACCAAGATGCATCAAAACACCATGTGTTTTAAGGATGTTAAAAACCATCAAAATAGCATTTTCCTACATATCTTGTTTTGAAGGCCCAGAGGAGGACAGAACCATCATAACTTCCTTGCCTCCTCCCGTCTTCCTTTTCTTCCCGATGGCGGCGCGCTCGGCCGCCGGCCGCGCGCCCAACGGTGTGGTGTGGTCGCCCACCCGCAGCGCCCGAAAAGTGAGTGTGTGTGTGGCGCTCGTGTGCAATTTCAGGCTCCTGCTTGTTAGGTGTAGTTTTGGACGGCGCGCGGCCCTTCCGTTTGCGTTCGCGAACCAAGAATGTGTGTGTGTGTGTGTGTGTGGCGAGAGGCCCGCCAGCGCCTGAGCCAGCGTTTCTCCCGCCGCAGCCTGCAGCTCTGAGCGGCCCGGGTTCCTCTCTTCCCGTCGCGCCGGGGTTCTTCCTCCTCCTTCCGTACGTTGCGGCCTTGATTTGCAATCATTGTGTGTCCCCTGTTGCCCTGTCCGCCCTTTGCCCAGCCGCCGACGCAAAAAGTGTGTGTGTGTGTGTCCGTAACTCTCGGTGCAGAGTGGATGGTGCTTGGCAGTGGCTGGCTGAACGTCCCGATTTCCGACATTCGAGTAAGGTTTTTTGTTGGTGGTTTCCGAAAGCCGAGTGGCGAACGATTGTGACCGTCAGAGGGGGTCCGTGAGGCTTTTTGGCTCGAGCTTTTTCGTCCTGGGCCCCCCCTGCAACCTTGCGGCTCGTAGCCCCCCTGCGCAACCGAATTTTGCCTGCTTCGTGGCAAGCCGCAGAGATTCCCTCGGGCATTCGCTGTCGCCGCCATGAGCGCCGACGCCTCTCCGGCCCTGCGCTGCCTCTCCGTGTGCGACCCTGTGCCTTCGGCGGAGGCGGAGTCCTGCGAGGCGGCCCCTGCGCCGTGGATGCGCAGCGAAGAAGCGCTGAGCACCCTCCTGGAGAAGCATGGCGTGAACACCCAGCTGTTTGGCGTGGGCTCCGCGAAGACGATGGCGCAACTCCTGGGGGAGCTTCGCGGCCAGTCCTGCTTCCTGGAGTTCCCGGACGTTCACGGGAGCACCCGCGAGCTTCCGCAGCCGAGGAGCTCCCAGGTGCTCCGCATCGTGGAGCCAGTCTTCATCCGCCTCCGCTGGCGCGGGCGCGTGCTAGTGCAGGAATCGCAGAGGATGGTGGACGGACGCATGCGTCAGCGCAACATGCTCCTCGCCGAGAAGAAGGAACCCAACGACGGCGGCGGCTTCATGGCAACCGTGGTGCGTGGGTTGAACGAGGAGCTAGGCATCCCGCGCGAGGATTTGCTTCAGGACGGAGCGCTCCGCTACCGCCCAGACACTTACCACTTCGAGATCGAGCAGATTGAGTCGCCCTCCTACCCCAGCTTGTCGTCGGTCTACCGCACGCACCACGTGCAGGTCGACATCCTTGACGGTGGCCTCCACCTATTCTCCAAGTGCGGTTTGCCCCAGTGCACACCCTTCACCACGTCGGAAACCAGCTCGCTCGGTACCACGACGCACTTCTGGAGGTGGAGCGACGCCGAGAAGGCGCTGCAGGAAGGGGTGGTGAAATTCCCGCCCAAGGTGATGTCGTCCAGCAGCCCGCCGTCGGCCCTCGCCGATGCAGAAGAGAAGGCGGGAGACCACGACACGCGCACATTGGGTGCAGGGGAGCTGTCCAGCGAGGAGGCCCTGGCAGGTGTCATGCGGGCCGCGGGGATCGACCCGGCCAGCTATGGGACGGGGAAGGCGAAGTCCCTGTCCGCGCTCCTCAAAGAGGTCCAGGGGGGGGAGTCGTGCCTGGAGAGGACGGAGGACCCCCCAGGCCTGCAGCGCGTCGTGGAGCCAGTGTTCGTGCAGCTGCGCTGGGGCGACCGGGTGCTCGTGGAGGTGGAGCAGCGCCTCAGTGGCGGCACGACCCGCCAGCGCAACATGCTGCTGGCAGAGAAGAAGAACCCGAATGACGCAGACGCCGCGGCGACGGCCATTCGCGGTATCTTCGAGGAGCTCGACCTGCCCTCCGACCTGTCGCCGCCTGAGGACTATTTCCAGTTTGTGCCAGAGACGTACTGCTGCCTGTCAGAGCACATGGAATCGGCTTCTTTTCCCGGTCTCCCTTGCGTCTACACCACGCACTACTGCAGCGTGCAGGTGATGGAGTCAGGGCTGGAGAGGCTGCGGCAGACTGGAATCCTGGAGGACCAGTTCGAGACGAAGGAGGCAGACAAGACCAACGTTTGGAGATGGACCGACATCAGCAAGGCTTGTGAGAGCAAGGTGAAGGGACTGCCAGACATCAAGGCGCTCTCCGCCGCAGACGCCGGTGGCCCTTCCAAGGGCCAGGAGTCCTCCTTCGAGCCCGTCGGCAGTGTCCCGTCGGAGCCTGGGCTGCTGCGGGCCCTCCTGGAGATGGGTGGCGTGAACGTCAGCTTGTGGGGAGGCTTCACGGTCGCCTCGTTGCGCTCGCTGGCGGACGAGCTGGAAACGGGGGCGTCGAGGCTGGAGAAGGACGCGAGCACTGGACGGCTGCGGCGAGTGGTGAGCTCGAGCCTCGTGCATTTCAACCTCTCGAGCCCGGCCGGGCGCGGCGAGGCTCTCGACAACGTGCAGTTCAGGCAGGACCTGCAGTGCTTCGAGGTGGTTACCAGCCTGGAACATATCCCTATCCCTGTGCTGGGCACCTCCTCGTCACGATGCCAATCCTAGGGATTCCCTTATCTTTTGAGGGCGACTCCCTAAGATTGTCACCGCCTTTTGGCGTGCCAATCTTAGGGATAGGGATACGTTCGAGGCTGGTAAGGTGGTGCACGTCGACATCGCCTCGTACCCCGGGCTGTCCTGCGTCCACCGGACGCGCCGGATGCAGCTCGACGAGGCGGGCCGAGGGCGCACCGGCAGCGTGACCCTGGGCGAGACGCCCAGGGGCGAGGGCGAGGAGATCGCCAGTTGCGCAGAGCTTGGTAAGCAGAGCTCTGCGCCTGCAGACGTGCAGCTCCCGCGCCTGATCGGGCGCAGCGATTCAGGCAGCGCAGGCCCCGCCCTGCAGAGTCCCAAGGGCCCTGCATCCGGCCGTGTTGATATCAGGCGCTTCACATCGACAGCGAGCTTGGACACAGACTGCGGCACTCCCTTCAGCAAGCGCGACGGCTCGGTGGTCTCCATCAACTCTATCTCCGATGGAGACGGCTGCCTCCTGCCCACGCTGTACAGTCAGCTGCAAAGTATCCGCAGCAAGCTGCGATTCAAGATGGTCGCGAAGGAACAAACTGACGCCGCTAAACGCCCAGCGGAGCAGGTTGTGGCTTGTTCGTGCAGTATCCAGCTGATCCGCAATGTCAACCCCCTGAACGCCACCTTCCAGTGCCGCTTCACGATCTTCGTCGAGTGGCTGGACAAGGCAGCAGTCGGCCTCCCCACGGGCGACCTGGATGAGGCCTCGGCGGGCTTGATGAGCATCCCCGAGATAGAATTGCAGAACACCCTGGCCACCAGCTTGAAGATCCGGTCGCGGCCCAGGGTCGTGGCCTCGGAGACAGGCCACGTGGCGTGCAAGATCCTGTACCAGGCCCTCGTCCAGATGGAGCTCGACATGCGCCTCTTCCCCTTCGACGCCCAGCGGCTGGTGCTCGTCCTCGGGCTGCGGGCGCGGCGCGACCGCGACCGCGTGCTGGCCTGCCAGTTCTGCCGCGTGGACGAGAGCATTCGCCTGGAGGAGTGGCAGATCATGCACAGCTTCGCGCACAGCGACTCCCCGGACGGTCGCGCCCGCATACAGTTCGGCGTCATGATCTCCCGAAGATATTGGTACTACCTCGTGAATGTCTTCATCACCCTGATTGCTATCGTCACCTCCAGCTTCGCGGGCTTCGTGCTCCCGGACTCGTACATATTTGACAGGCTCCGCATAGGTGTGGCCGTCCTCTTCGCGCAGATCACTTTCCGCCTCTCGCAGGACAACAAGCTCCCGAAGGTGGCCTACGCCACGATCTTCGATCAGTACGCGATGTTCTGCCAGCTGACTGTGCTTGGCATTATCTTTGGTAATATTGTGACCAACATGCTCGGGCAGGGGGTGTTCGGCCAAGCGGCTGCTGCTGCCGCCGGCACTGTGGACCTCGCCTTTGCCTGCCTGTTCTTCTGCATCTGGACGCTCGGGCAGCTCTGCTGGCTGCTTGGCGTCTCGCGCAGGCGGCACATGCAGCACCGCTCGCTCTTGCAGCTGGCGAGCTCTGGCAAGCACTCTGAGCAGCACGTGGCTGGTTCTGGCGCTGCCCAGCAGCAGTTGGCCAGCCTTCGGGAGAGCCTCCACTACCGAGGCCCTGCGTGCAGTCGCGACTCCATTCTGGTGCCGCGAAGTGTCGGCCGGGCGGTGTCTATCGACCTTTGCGTGTGGCTCCTCCACGACATCAGCCCAATGACGACCACTTTCGAGTGCAAGTTCTCGGTTACGCTCGTGTGGCTCGACGACAAAGCGAAGGGCCTGCCAGAGGGGACGCGGCTGATGGGCGAGAAGCTCGGCCTGATCGACATCCCTGATCTGGACGTCCACAACAAGGTTGAGTCGGTGCTGGAGGAGGGTCCTTGCGTGCGCGTGGCGTGCTCCACGACTGGCGAGGTCTCGGCGACGTATCGGTTCCACGCCAAGGTGCAGATGAACTTCGACCTACGCCAGTTCCCGTTCGATTCCCAGCACCTGCTCCTGAACATCACGATGCCCAACGAGAAAGATAAGGACCGAGCCTTTGTGTACCGCAGCCACCAGCTTGACGCCAGCGCCCAGAGCCTTGACGAGTGGTTCATCCAAGGACACACTATGTCTCCCGATGTCAGCGACGACGTGGCCATGGCCTCGCTTCTAATTGACATACGGCGGCGCTCCTTCTTCTACGTCGTGAGCGTGCTGGCTGTCCTGCTGGGGATCTCGTCCCTGGTCTTCACGGTCTTCGTGATTCCCATGCAGCCTGACGGTCTTGACTATGTGAACCAAGGGAAGATCTTGGCCCCCCTGTTCATGACTCTGCTCGCGTTCAAGCTCCTGACTGCGTCTGGTAAGCTGCCCACCGTCGCGAGCGCCACCAATTTCGACCGGTATATGCTCGCGTGCGAGCTCATGTTCTTCGCCACCATCGTCATTTGTGGCGCGTCTCGCTTGCTGGCGACGGTGCATGGTGTCGACATGGTGCAGCCCTACCGCGTCTTTGCGGCCCTGGTGTTCGTTTTCCTGTGGCTGGTCTTCAACGTGTGCTTCGCGCTCGGCGTCGGCGTGGGCCCCACGGGCGGGGGCGGCACGTCGTTGGAGGCTGCCGTGCTGGGGCAGACGCAGCCGTTCTACGGCGACTCCTCGCCGGGCTTCGAGGAGCAGCGCTTGCTGCTGCAGTCCCGGGGCTCTGCTCAGAGCGAAGGCCCGGTCGGCGCGCCCTCGGCGGTGATGCTGCGCGTCGCGATGCAGAGCGTGCACTCCGTGAATCCGGCCGACGGCACTTTCCAGGCCGACTTCGTTGCGGGCCTCGAGTGGCTCTGCCCCGACGCGGTGGGACTAGACGCTGGCTCGGAGCTCTCGGGGGAGCAGCTGGAGTTGCTGCAGCGGCCGAAGCTCATGGTCCAGAACGCGATCAGCTGCTCCACCAAGGTCCTGGGCGGCGCGCGCGTCGTCGATCCCGCCAGCGGCCACGTCACCTGCAAGGTGCACGTCAAGGCGCAGGTGCAGGTCCACTTCCAGCTCGGACAGTTCCCGTTCGACGAGCAGGTCTTGGAAGTGGTCCTCATACTCCCCGACATGGGCGACAAGCACAGGAGCCTTGTGATCGAGCACCTCGACTGCGCAGACGTGGCGCGGTTGGGCGAGTGGGTCGTGCTCGGCGATGTGTCGTCATGTGGCCGCCGTCAGGGGATCTCGTGGGCCTCGGTGGGAGTCCAGATCCGCCGCTCAAGCCGCTACTACGTCCTGAACCTGGTGTCGTTGAGCCTGTGGGCCACCTTCGGCTTCGCCATCTACGCCCTGGAGGTGGACGATTTCCAGAATAGGGGCAAGATCCTGGTGGGCGTGCTGCTGGTGCAGATTGTGTCGAAGCTCGTGGTGTCCAGCAAGCTGCCGCGCATCGCTCGTACCACCCTCTACGACCGCGTCGCGCTGAACAATCTGGCCATGCTCTTCTGCATCGGCTGCAGCGCCGCGCTCTGCTGCGTTCTCAACAGCGCGGAGGGCTACGAGGAGTTCAGCCGGGTCTGCGACCTGTCTCTCGCTTGCGCCGTCCTGCTGCTGTGGGTGGTGCTCAGCGCCAGCACCGCGCTTCAGGCTCGTGGGGGGCCTGCGGCCAGCCGCCACAGGGCCGGGGAGTCCGCTCCAGATCCTGTTGCAGGCAAGGAGGAGCCCCAGACCGACGACGCGGCCGCCATCGCCCGGGAGGTCGCTATCATGCGCCCCTCCGTGCAGCCAGAGCCCGCCGCGGGCGCGGAGGATGGCCTGCAGCTCGGCCGCCGCCCGAGCGGCGTCCCCGCCGCCGCGCAGGACTGCGGGGCGGCCGTCTCCATCGGCGCCACGGTCCAGTTCCTCACCGATCTGGACACCGTCTCCGGCACCGTCGAGTGCAAGTTCCATGTCTTCTTGGACTGGAAGGTCGGCCAGGGAGCGATGCGCATGCAGAGGCACGGGCGCATCAGCAGGCGCACGTCCCACGGCGGCAGCGGAGAAGAGCAGATGGCCATACCGCAGATCAAGCTCCTGAACGCGACCAAGATCATGATGGAGGACTACTCCGACGTGAGCGTCGTGGACGTCGCGACGGGGCACGTCTCTTGCCGTGTTCAGTTCCACGCGCGCATCCACAACAAGTTCGACCTGCGCAGCTTCCCCTTCGACTGCCAGAGGCTGCAGGTGGAGCTCGAGCTCCAGGGCTGCCCGGGCCGCTTCCTGGTGGGCGGCCGCTGTGGGAGCATCGACCAGAACGGCAACCTGGACGGGTGGACGCTGCGGGCCACCTCGCTCGACGTCGACGGTGGGGGTCTGCCGCCTCGGCGCGCACGCGTCTCGATGCTGGTGGAGCGGAGCTCGCGGTACTACCTCGTCCAGGTCATCGCCATCTTCGCTTGCTTGGCCACGCTGGTTTTCTCATTCTACGTGGTTGAGGCGCAGTTCCTGGACAAGCGAATCGTGGACGCGCTCAAGATCGTCCTGACGATGACCACCTTCCGGTTCTCGGTGGAGCACAGGTTGCCCAGGGTCCAGCATTGGACGCCATTCGACATCTATCATGTGTCCTGCCAGGTCCTCTGCACGTGCATTATCGTCTCTTTCGTCGTGGCCAAGTTGGGCGATAAGGACGGCATGCGGCACTGCCAGACGCGGGAGAAGGAGGTATATGTGATCGCGTCCTTGTCTTGCGCGTGGGTCGTATGGCACATCTGCTGCGGCATCTACTCGCTGCGCCTCAAAGGCCGCGATCTACGCCACCTGGCTCGGCCTTCCGAGCTACGACGCACGCGGGCACACCTGTCGCAGCAGTCGTCAGCGCACCCAGCAGTGGAGTCAGACACGCCTTCAATGCCAGCTCGGCAGCTAGCAGCACTGCCCAGAGAGGCCGCTGACGGGAACGGCCTGGGCACTCTGGCAGCGCTGGGAGGCCACCTCGGTGTGGCGAGACCCCAGGATTCGGCGTCTGACCAGGCAGTCCAGGAGACGCAGGTGATCTCCATCGCCTTCCGAATTTGGCTCGTGCGCAATGTGGACCTCGTCACAGGCACTTTCGAGTGTAAGTTCCGCGTCTTCCTGGAATGGGTCGACGTCAACGCGGTAGGCCGGCCCAAGGGCCAGAAGGCCAAGCTGCCAGTGCCCGACATCACGATCACCAACGCCATCCAGTCGCAGCTTTTGGATGCCAGCTCGGCGCCCGAGGTAGTCAACCCAGACACAGGCCACCTTGCTGCACAGAAGCTCTACAAGTGCACAATGCGGATGGATCAGGAGGTGCGGCATTTCCCTTTCGACTGGCAGTGGCTCGTCATCACCGTAAGCATGCGCGACGAGGGCGAGTTCAACCGGCCCTTCTTCTTCCAGTACTGCGAGATGGAGGGCCAGCTGCAACTGGACGAGTGGCACGTTCACGACCAGCCCGCGTTCACAACCCTCAGCAAGCACGACGCGCCCAGCAGCGAGGACACTGTGATGTGTGGCATTCTCATCCGGCGCCAGCCCCGCTACTACGTTGTCAACATTTTGTTCATGCTGGGGCTCATCACGTCTTTGTCCTTTTCCATTTATCAGGAGGGGTTCGCACCCTGCCGCTGGCACCCCTTCTCGGACTGACTCGTGGGCAGGTGGTAGTTCAGAGGGGAACGCCAGCAGGTGTCCATGGGGAGGCTTCGTCTGCGAGTGTCGTGCCATCTCGGAGCATCACGGGGCAATCTTGGGGCTACTTGGGCGCAGTGTTGTTACCCTCTTGGGACTTGGTCGGGGGCCACCTTGAGGTCTCTAGGGCCCATCTGCGGACCACACGGTGGACCTCGGAAGCCCTCAGAGGCTCTGGGTGGCCCCGAGAGTTCCAGGGGGATTGGTGGAGGTTCTGGGAGGTAGTGAGAGGTCTATGGGATGCCAACCTCTTGTTCATGCTGGGGCCCATCACGTCCCCCGTGCTCCTCCACTCATCGGAAAGGGCGTCGCACTCTCCGCCGCCGGCCCCCCTCCTCGGGCCAGTACTCGTGGCCAGACGGCAGTTCCAAGGGGAACGCCAGGTGTGCTTCCTCGGGGAGGCTTCGCCTGTGAGAGGCGTGCCTTCTTGGAGCAGCACGGGGCAATCTTGGGGCTACTTGGGCGCCGTGCTGGTGCCCTCTCGGGGCTTGGTCGGGGGCCATCTTGGGCCCATTGGATGCATCAGCGGACCCCCCGGAGCCCCAGGGAGCTCTGGGAGGCCCTGGGAGGTCCTGGGAGGTCCTGGGAGGCCCTGCCAGGCCCTGTGAGGTCCGAGCAGGCTCAGTGAGAATCTGGGAGGCACCGAGAGGTGCTGGGATGCCTTGATATGCCTTGGGCTTCCTTGGGAGGCTTCTGGGTGGGAGTCCCCAGGTGCCTCGCGAAGCCTTGCGAGCTCTGGGACTCTCCTGGGAACGCTGATCCGTCGTAAGACGGGAAGCGCGAAGCGATTTCGGTTTGGATTTCAAAACTAAGGCAGGCCATTCCCGAGCAGGGGGTGGCTAGGCGGATTTCTGAAATCGGCATTTTGGGTCTCAAGAGAGACGTCCAGTACGCCTCGAGAATGCACCACGAGGGTGCG